TCCCTGACCTCTCTCAATTTGTTTTCATTAATCACTTATTTGGACAAGCTGATTTTTCCTGCCTCCATCCTCACTGGCTCTGGAGATCAGTTTCCTCCTGCCTCCTCATGTGGTGAAGCTGGGCCACCTGCTCCTGTTTGGAGCAGAACAAGTGGCCAAATGCTGTGAGGAATTGGCCCAACCTGACCTGTGTGAGAGGAAAAGCAGGAGGGAAGTGCTGCTATTTTTTTCCCTTCCTGGCAGAAATCCAGGCTTGGCTGGAGCAAGGAAAGCTGACAGGTCCTCGGGGCTGAGGAGCTGCTTCTAATGTTAAAGAGCTACAGGAGGGTGGGGAAGAAGGAACCTTTTCTCCTTGTCTTCTTTCTGAAGCTCTTCCAGGCTGCAGAAGTGCAGATCCTGAGGTACCATGTCCCTTGCTGGGCACCATGACCTCCCAGTCACTGTTTCCTTTCCCTCTTGATGCTGAGATCCGTGTTGAGGCACCTGAATTCCCCATGTCACATCCAAATCATGGAATGGTTTGGGTTGGAAGGGACCTTAAAGATCATCTAGTCCCAAGACCCTGCATGGGCAGGGACACCTCCCACCAGACCAGGCTGCTCCAAGCCCCATCCAACCTGCCCTTCAACACTGCCAGGGATGGGGCAGCCACAGCTTCCCTGGGCAACCTGGGCCAGGCTCTCACCACCCTCACAAGGAAGAATTTCTTCCTAATATGCAACGTAAATCTCTCCTGCTCTAATGTAAGGCCACTGCCCCTTGTCCCATCACTCCCTGCCCTTGTCCCAAGTCCCTCCCCAGCTTTCCTGGAGCCCCTTCAGGCACTGGAAGCTGCTCTAAGGTCTCCCTGGAGCCTTCTCTTCTCCAGGCTGAACACCCCAACTCTCCCAGCTTGGCTCCAGAGCAGAGCTGCTCCAGCTCTTGGATCATCTTTGTGGCCTCCTCAGGACTCTCTCCCACAGCTCCATGTCGTTCTTATGTTGGGGACCCCAGCACTGGTCCCAGCCCTGCATCAGGGTCTCAGCAGAGCAGAGGGGACAATCTCCTCCCTGGCCCTGCTGGTCACACTGCTGGTGATGCAGCCCAAGACATAGTTGGTTTCTGGGCTCCAAGGCACATGCTCAGCTCACACTGGGCTTCCCATGCCATCCAAACCATCACAGCTCCATGTTGGCTGTTCCTCTTCTTTCTCCCAGTGGCTGTTTCTTGACTTCCCAGCTGCTCTCAGGCAGGGACGTGGGGTCATGTTTTCCCCTTGGCCATTGTCAAGCCTGTAAGGTGGGCAGTTGGTCAGATCCTGAGCCCTCATCTTCTCCAGGTTTCCCAAACCTTGTTTGTCCACTGGGACATGTTGTCATGCACACACATGGTGTCCAAATGCTTCATCTGCCACTGAAGTGTCAAAGGCTAGACCATCATTCTTTGGGGGTTTGAGCATCAGGAAGGAGCAGGCAGGTTGGGGGGAAGCTGGGAAATCATGTTTCCTGCCTTCACACCCCAGTTATTCCCCAGAGGAGATCTGGAGTGCAGGATCTCTCCTTTCCATGTTTTGAGGTCCTTGGGTAGGGCCCATGAAGGCATCAGAGATGATGCAGCCATCACTGGGTTACCCAAAGGTGTGGAAAGCACCTGGCTCCTGTTTGTGGGGCACAGGGTTAGGCTGCAGCTGGGCAAGTGGAGGCACCATCAAAATGTCCCTTTTGGACTAGATGATCTTTCGAGGTCCCTTCCAACCCCTCGGATTCTGTGGATAGCCAGGATCACAAAACAGTAGCCCTATGCCCTCTTTGACTTCTTGCTTCTCCAAACTTCTCTTTACCCCTGCTTGTACTTAATCAGCTCCTTGGGTGCCTGAGCTGGGAGATCTGAAGGACATTTCTGTGAATTAAAGCCTGTTTTTTTTTCCTGTCCAAACAAGGAAACGATAAAGAAGTTGAAGGTGACTTTGTGTCTTTGTTGTGCTTTTTTTTTTTGCTGACATGGCTGAGAAGTGCCTGAATATCTTCCCCCACGTTGAGCCCCTGTGATCTCTTCCATCTAGTTGGGGCTGCAGAACATCCCTGAGCACCTCAAGAGCAGAACCCTCCTCTTGCCTCTCTCTCTGCAGGTGACCTCTGCATATCCGAAAACGAACGCAGGGTGGTTTCCAAGGAAGCCTGGGAGAAACTCAAGCAATATTTTCCAAAGGCCCCTGAATTCCCAAATAACAAAGAGTGCTGTTCCCAGTGCAAGGTATTTCAATGCCAAATCTTGTTGACTGTCAATACACTGATATTTGTGGTTGTCTTTCCAACCCGCCCCAGTGCAGCAGAGCAGGGAAATGTCACCTTTTAACAGCAGCTGCAGAATGAACCTGGGGTGTGATTAACTGTTTCATGCAGATTTTGGAACGTGAAGGGGAAGAAAATGAAGCTCTGCATAAGATGATGGCCAGCGAGCAGAAGACTTCTCTCCAGAACCTGTTTCATGATAAATGCAGACCATGCCTGGGCAGCTGGCCTCAGGTAGGGGAAGGAGGGTGACCAGGGTGATGTCACAGGGCTTGGGGAGAGGTTTTTATTACCTCTTAGTGATCTGCACCTGGGTCAGGGCAGTGCCAAGCACAAACACAGGTTGGGTGGAGAATGGATGGAAAAATGCCCTGAGGGGAAGGACTTGGGGGTGTTGGGTGATGAAGAGCTCAACATGTGTGCTGGAGCCCAGAAACCAGCTGTGTCCTGGGCTGTGTCACCAGCAGTGTGACCAGCAGGGCCAGGGAGGGGATTGTCCCCTCTGCTCTGCTCTGGTGTGACCCCACCTGGAGCACTGTGTACAGTTCTGACCCCCAAACATAAGGACATGGAGCTTCTGGAGAGAGTCCAGAGGAGGCCACAGAGATGATGGGAGGGCTGGAGCAGCTCTGCTCTGGGCTCTGGAGACAGGCTGGGAGAGTTGGGGTGTTCTGCCTGGAGAAGAGAAGGCTCCAGGGAGACCTTAGAGCACCTTCCAGTGCCTGAAGGGGCTCCAGGAAAGCTGGGGAGGGGCTTGGGACAAGGGCAGGGAGGGATGGGATGAGGGGGAATGGGTTAAAACTGGAAGAGGGGAGATTGAGGTTGGACATGAGGAGGAAATTCTTTGCTGTGAGGGTGGTGAGAGCCTGGCCCAGGTTGCCCAGGGAAGCTGTGGCTGCCCCATCCCTGGCAGTGTTGAAGGGCAGGTTGGATGGGGCTTGGAGCAGCCTGGTCTGGTGGGAGGTGTCCCTGCCCATGCAGGGGGTTGGGACTGAATGGTCTTTAAGGTGCCTTCCATTTCAAACCATTCCATGATTTTATCCCTCTGCTTCGGAAGTTTCCTTTCCCTGCCATCCAGGCTGCCTGCTCATCCCTCTCTCAGCCCCAGCCCCTGCTGTGCTGGGCAGGCAGTGCCAGCTGAGCTGCCACGTGTGTTGTGCCAAGGTGTGATTCCCCCAGGGGCTGTGCTGGCACAGAGCCCTGCTAAAGATAGGCAAGAAGTGCCTGTGTGCCAGAAGAGCTGCTGCTGCCCTGCAGGCATCTCCAGGAGCAGCCACAGCATCACTGCTTCCCTCATCACCCCCCCCAAGAATAACCAGAATGGTGCAGCCAGGACAGTGGAGGAGACTTTCCACCACCTTCCTGTGCAGGCCAGGCCTCTCCTGCTGCTCAGGGAAAATTCATGTGCTCCAGCATCCTCCTGCATCCTGAGGGCTCAGGGAGCTTCCCTCAATGCTGATGCCTTGCAAATGTGAGGGTGTGGAGTGATAGGAGACCTTAGAGCACCTTTCAGTGCCTGAAGGGGCTCCAGGAAAGCTGGGGAGGGACTTGGGACAAGGGAAGGGAGGGATGGGATGAGGGGATGGATTAAAACTGGAAGAGGGAGATTGAGGTTGGACATGAGGAGGGAATTCTTTGCTGTGAGGGTGGTGAGAGCCTGGCCCAGGCTGCCCAGGGAAGCTGTGGCTGCCCCATCCCTGGCAGTGTTGAAGGGCAGGTTGGATGGGGCTTGGAGCAACCTGGGCTGGTGGGAGGTGTCCCTGCCCATGCAGGGGGTGGGACTGGATGGTCTTTCAGATCCCTTGCAACCCAAGTTCAGGCTCCCCAGTTCATGAAGGACAAGGAGCTGCTGGAGAGAGTCAAGCACAGGGCACTGAGATGCTGAGGAGACTGGAGCATCTGCCTGTGAGGAAAGGCTGGGAGAGCTGGGGCTGTTCAGCTGGAGAGGAGGAACCTGAGGGGGGATCTGATCAGTGCTGATCAATATCTACAGGAGGATGGGCCAGACTCTTCTCAGGGGTGCCCAGTGAGAGGACAAGGGCAATGGGCACAAACTGGAACACAGGAGGGTCAAGCTGAACATGAGGAAGAACTTGTACACTTTTGAGGGTGGCAGAACCCTGGGACAGGCTGCCCAGGGGGGCTGTGGCGTCTCCATCCCTGGAGACATTCCAACCTCACCTGGATGTGTTCCTGTGGGATCTGCTCTAGGGCATTCTGCTCTGGCAGGGGTTTGGACTGGATGATCTCCAGAGGTCTCTTCCAACCCCCACCACTCTATGATTCTATGATCCTATGAAATAGGAATGATGGTTGTGCAAGGCCTCTGGTAGCAGCTTCTCCTTGGTGCAAGGTGCAGCTCTCCAGGATTTCCTTGGGGCTTTGAGGTGGCTCCAAAGAAATGGCACAAGCAGTTGGCTCCAGGCCTTGGCTCCCGGCCATCTTGTGGCACTGATTAAGGATTGACTCTCAGCTCCTGCCAATCTGCTTTGCCAGGTGTCTGCCTTGTGGCTCCTGCATGTGAGGGCAGCCTGATAGTCCCTGCTGCCTTCTCCAGCTGTGAATAAATATTGAGGCAACAGAGAGCCATGTCTCAGAACTGGGGGGCCCCAAAAGGGTGTACATGGGAAACGCTCTGTGCTGAGCTCGAGAATCCCACTGGTGGTGTTGAAGAGTTGGATCTGGTTGGGTTTGCTTTTGTAGCTGGAGTAGGGATGGAAAGCTGGAGCCCATCACCATGGGTCAGCTCAAATATGAGATGTCTCCAGACAGTGAGGCAACATAGTAGAATCATGGAATGGTTTGAAATGGAAGGGACTAGATCCAACCCCCTGCATGGGCAGGGACACCTCCCACCAGCCCAGGCTGCTCCAAGCCCCATCCAACCTGCCCTTCAACACTGCCAGGGATGGGGCAGCCACAGCTTCCCTGGGCAACCTGGGCCAGGCTCTCACCACCCTCACAGCAAAGAAGTTCCTCCTCATGTCCAACCTCAATCTCCCCTCTTCCAGTTTTAGTCCATCACCCCTTGTCCTCTCCCTCACTGCCCTTGTCCAAAGTCCCTCCCGAGCTCCCTTTTAATTTCCCTATTCCAGATAAAGGAGATTATAAAAAAGAGCTGAGGCTGTTTCCCTCAAGCTTTGTGAGTTTTCCTGGTCCAAACCAGTTGAGGTTCAGGGAAGAAAATAAGCAGAGAGGTTTAATCTAGAGGAAAAGAAGGGAGATTTAAAACATATATATATATATACCTCCAGTGTGATGAATTCTGCAAAAGAGTGGAGTGAGCCCTCAAACCTGCATTAGGGAAGATGGGCAGGGTAGATGAGCATGGGAATGGGTTTGTCCCCCAGCACTTGGGATCTCAGTGGTTCCTTCTCCAGGAACAGGTTATCTCATGGCACATCATTCAGGGCAGGAAAACAAAGGTTTATCCTAAAACTGCTGCCTGGTGGAGGTGCATGGCCATGGGTTTGGATCCTCCAAGAAGGAGAAATTTGGGGGTTTTAAAGGGTGAGACGATTGAAGTGGATTGGGGGGGTCTCACCCCACACCCATGGGGGTGCAAGGACACATCTGCAGCCCCTGAGTACCTGGTGAGATCAACCACAGGGCCGGGGAGTCTGGGCTGCTCTGAGGAACTGACCGTTTCTTGCTGAGAATTAAAGGTAATTGGATCTGTATCTCAATTAACTTTGTAATCAACATGAGATTAGTAATGAAACTGCTTAGTACTTGATCCCAAATTATTTTCCTTGGCTTTCCCAGCGTGCTTGGATGGAGTTGTCATGGTAAGAACACTGAGGTCTTGAAGCTGCAGAAGCAGCTGAGCAGTCATCCCTTCTCTGTCGTTGGATTAATTCATAAAGATCCTTTTTTTTCCTCTCCCCCTCTTTTTCTCCCCCAGGAGACAGATGAGCTGTACATTGTTTCGCAGTTCTTTGTAGAAGAATGGAGGAAATTTGTCAGGTAACTTGGCTTGAGGTTTTTGATGCTTTTTATTCCTGGTTTTGGGGAGTTCTGTAGATAATTATGTTGTTCTTGACCCCTGGCGCGTCGCTACCTGGGGTTTGGCTTTGTGGAAACAAGGAAGCTCATTTTTGCAAGGGCTCCTATCAGTTGTTGGAGGTTGTAAGAAACAGAATTTCCTTGTTTACCGTGTCTTAACCAGATGGTTGGATTAGATAGGAACTTGATTAGTTTTTTCATCTGTCTGGAGCTGTGGCTCAGGCAAAGGTCACCCCTCAGTCCCGTTTCCATGGGCTGCTGGTGGCGGGAGATGGAAATCTCTGCTCGATAGGAGAGTCATTTTGCAACATGCAGGAAT